GGGAGAGAGGCAAGGGGAGGGGCTCTGGGCACCTAGCCTTAGCAACACCTTTGGCTGATATTTATTCTTTCTCCTTCCTTGGGCTGGAAACCAAGGGGAATCCAAGCAGCACCATGTGAAGCAAGATCCCAGGGGCTCTGAGAAGCTTGTTGCAGTGAGAGGTGACTCAGCACAGGCCTCAGAACCACAGGGAGTGTCCCGCAGCCTGGATTCTGCGTAGGCCTGTGCACACTATGTGGGCCACCGTGGCTGTTACTGTAGGTCTCCTGAGGGGAGGTTTTGTCTCCTAGGAGCCCGAGGATGTCCTGGCCACCCCCAGCTAATAAGTGGGCGGTAGGACCAGGGTCCTCGTTATGGTTTCATCTCTAAATAATGTACTTTCCCTTGAAGAAGCCCTTCATGTTTTGTCTGGATACGGAACCCTCCTTCTCTGCAGGCTCTTGTCAGTGCCATCTCCAGACTGGGATGTCTAGAACAGGTGTCATCAGGGCACTCCCAAAAGATGCCTCACTGCTCGTAAACTGAGCTGTCGTCCTTAGCACAATGTGGTCCTGACCAAAATTTCTGCCTCATCACAACCCCCACTCCTTCATCCCACCAGGTACCCTGTACTATAGCCCAGGGTTTTTTTTACATCTTTATTGGAGTATAATTGCTTTACAATGGTGTTAGTTTCTGCTTTATAACAAAGTGAATCAGTTATACATATACATATGTTCCCATATCTCTTCCCTCTTGGGTCTCCCTCCCTCCCACCCTCCCTATCCCACCCCTCCAGGTGGTCACAAAGCACCAAGCTGATCTCCCTGTGCTATGCAGCTGCTTCCCACTAGCTATCTACCTTACGTTTGGTAGTGTATATATGCCCATGCCTCTCTCTCACTTTGTCACAGCTTACCCTTCCCCCTCCCCATATCCTCAAGTCCATTCTCTAGTAGGTCTGTGTCTTTATTCCTGTCTTACCCCTAGGTTCTTCATGACATTTTTTTCCCTTAAATTCCATATATATGTGTTAGCATATGGTATTTGTCTTTCTCTTTCTGACTTACCTCACTCTGTATGACAGACTCTAGGTCCATCCACCTCATTACAAATAGCTCAATTTCGTTTAGCCCAGGGTTTTGCAGCATGAACTGTCTTCAGAAGCATCGAGGACACTTGTTTTCTTGTTTTTTTAAAAAATAAATTTATTTATTTATTTTTGGCTATGTTGGGTCTTCGTTGCCGCACGCGGGCTTTCTTTAATTGTGGTGAGCGGGGGCTGCTCTTCATTGCTGTGCGCGAGCTTCTCATCGTCATGGCTTCTCTTGTTGTGGAGCACGGGCTCTAGGAGTGCTGGCTTCAGTAGTTGGTGGCTCGCGGGCTCAGTAGTTGTGGCTCACGGGCTCTAGAGCCCAGGCTCAGTAGTTGTGGCGCACGGGCTTAGTTGCTCTGCGGCATGTGGGATCTTCCCGGACCAGAGCTTGAACCCGTGTCCCCTGCATTGGCAGGCGGATTCTCAACCACTGTGCCACCAGGGAAGCCCGAGCACACTTGTTTTTAAAAATGCAGATTCCTAGGCCTACCAGATCCATTGCTCCCGGGGCCTGGGAACCTGCTTTTTAATGATACCGAGGCTGATTCTTGTGCAGACTGCCATTTAAGAACTACTGCTCTGCCAAACCAGATTGTTATTTCATGACTATCTGGGCCCTCAGTGCCCTTTCTCATGCTGTTCCTCTTCCTAGAATGCCCTTCCTATCCTTCCCAGGCTGGTGCCCTCTGCTCCTTCTTTAAGGTTTATCTCACGTTAGCTCTTTTGTGCTCCTTCACCCCAAATCTAGGTTCCTTTCTTTGTGCTCACACAACCCCACTGCACTTTCTACCTACCTCTGCCCTAGAATTTTCATACTGTCAGGGTTGGTTCCTCTGCTTGTTTGTGAGTTCCATAAAGACCATAGATAATTCGTTTTTGAATTCCCGAGACCTAGCAAAGTACCTGGCAGACAGAAAGCATGTTTGCTGAATGAATGTGAATGAATGGAGACCAGGCTCCAGTCTAATTCAGAAAGTTATATTTAACCCATTTTGTAACTGACAGAGTCAGGATTAATCATGCAGGTTTCCTGCTTCACAGTTTCAGTCTGTTTCTTGGTCTAAATATTTGGTCTACTCTTGAGGAAGCTACAGATTTACGTTTTGGCAAGAGCTGTTTAGATTAGCCATGAGTTAAGACTTAGAATTACTATTTTTTTTAAATTTCAAAATGTGATTCTGTCTTAAGCCAAGGAACTGCTCTCTCCTGATTGCTTTGAGGATAGAACTCACCGGACTTTTTCTCCACTTCAGATCTGTTCCTCAGGGTCATCCAGCTCATAATTCTTGACCTTTTAACTCTAGTGCCATACCTGCCACCTCAGCCAGGCACACCCCAGACCTTGTCATGACTGCTTCAGCTCAGAAATGCCACCATGCCAGTCTCTGGCCAAACCTTCCTTGTCTTCAGCTTACTCACTTCCCCCACTCCCAGTTCACCTGCTCTCTGACATCATGACTCCCTGATCTCTTTCCTAAGCCCCAACCCACAAGTAGCCTCCTTTCTTCTTCCCCTTCCACAGGGAGGTGCCCCTCCTCCCATCCCAGGCAATCCCTCGTCTGGGCGCTGGACTGCATCCCTCCCGATCCCTCAGCACTGCGTCGTGTAGTCACCTCCCTTTCCTCCATCTTCAGTCTCTCCCCTGCTGTTTTCCTACCACACATCAACACAGTCAAGCTCCTCTCACCTTTGTGGCTACCTTCCTCTAGGTATTAGTCAGTTAAGGTCTGGGACCAGTTCTGATTGTGTGGAGGTTTCCCCACACCACAAAGCAATTCTTGCTGGTGTCCTACAATTCAACTCAGTTCCGACCCTATCTACCCAGAGATAGCATCAGATCCCACAGGTTAAGGGCTCAGTCCCACAAGACTGCCCACCCACCTTCAGATGCCAATCGAAAGCCCAGGTTGTGCCCTGTGCTTCTGTCCAACTGGCTGTAAGTCAGAGGTTCCCATGACCCCCTCCTTCCTTGGGTTTGATTAATTTGCTAGAGTGGCTCACAGAACTCAGAGACACATTTTACTTATTAGATCACCCGTTTATTTTAAAAGGATATAACTCATGGATAGCCAGATAGAAAGAGATGTTCACCAACCTGGAAGTGCTCTAAACCCCATCCTTTTGGGTTTTTATGGAGGCTTCACTGTATACGCGTGATTTATTAAATCACTGGCCATTGGTGATTGATTCAACCTCCAGCCCCTCTCCCATCCCCAGAGGTCAGGGGCGTGGAAAGTTTCCACCCCTCTAAAAACATGGTTGATCCTCCTGGCAGCCAGCCCCATCCTTAGGTGTGGTCCAAGAGACCTCATTAACAAAAGACATCTTTATCACTTTCATCACTTAGGAAATTCCAAGGGCTTTAGAAGCTCTGCCAGAAACATATGAAGACCAAATATATATTTCTTATTATAAATCACAATATCACACCAATCTTTCAAGTTCCCTTCACAGCATAGCTTATCAAGAGTAGGCCTAATTTGCTACCCACTCATTCCCAGCCCAGTTTCTTGGGTTCTTTCCAAGACCCCAGGTACTCCCAGCCTCCTAACTGTAAAATTCACTGAGCAGTTTTTAGTTGCTATTTTGCCTGCACTTTGTGTGGTATTTGACACAAGGAGCCACTCCTTTCTTCTTGAATCTCTGTTCTTCCTCGGTTTGCAAAGCACTCTACCTACCACTGTCTTTATGGGGTCCTTTTCCTATTCTCAGACGTCAGCAGTCCATACCTTTCCTTGTTTAGCCCTTCTAGCTTCTTGTTTTATTCGTTCCCTCTGATATACCTCATATAATCTGAAGCTTGCCACTTGGTATGCAAGACATCTGAACTTTAGTAAAATGAGAGTTGTCATGAAAAGTATAACATAGGCATGCAAAGGGCTCAGCAAAGTGCCTGCCACAGAGTAGAGACTCCCTAAATGGTAGTCCTTTGTATTATTATTGTTAATAATAAAATAATGTCTTTATCTCTGCCCTATAGGTTTACATCTCTCTTTATTATTTTTTTTTAACTTACCTAATGGGTTTATATTTGATATATAGTACTTCTCACCATGGAGATGTTACCAGTTAATATAAAGATTTTTTTGGTTTTGTTAAACATTAAATCTCTTCTCCATTTCAATGTCAATATAAAGTATTTTTTTTTACATTAAATCTTTTCTCCATTTCAACGTTAGGTACATCGAATACATTTTCTAAACGTTTCCCCCACAAAGAGATTTGGTTTTTTTTTTTTTTTTTTTTTTGCAGTACGTGGGCCTCTCACTGTTGTGGCCTCTCCCGTTCCGGACACGCAGGCTCAGCGGCCATGGCGCACGGACCCAGCCGCTCCGCGGCATGTGGGATCTTCCCGGACCGGGGCACAAACCCGTGTCCCCTGCATCGGCAGGTGGACTCTCAACCACTGTGCCACCAGGGAAGCCCAAAGACATAAGTTTTAATTTTTGACCAACTGTATTTAATATCTAGGTACAATATTAACTTGGGAGATAACAACACAAAAATCCATTAAAAATATGGATGGAGAAAAGACTCCTTAATGATGCAGGAGGCAGTGATTATAACTTAAACAGTGGCAATTTCCCAGGATTCTGGGCAAGAGTTTTCTTCTTCCTATTGAGAATTCTGAAACTATGAAATATGCAGAGTTCAGCCATCTCACTTCTTTGACCCTCTTTCTAAGGCATTTTTCAGTGCATTATTTGTTGTGAAGAAAACGTTTTGTTTTCCATTTAACATAGTATATCAATTTGTTCCTATTTATAGGGAAATAACCAAGACTGTGAACTACCCTATTTACTGTTTCTTGGGAACTTTCAGTGACCAAAACTCAGTTCTGAACCTCAATAGCACAAAGGTTTTCAGGGCAAGGTTTGATTCAGGAGGCCCTTCAAAGTCTCATCCGTCCATTTCTCTTTCGTGCCTACACCCCCGAACAAGCACAAATGCCTGTAATGCTGAGAACCACACCGAGCAAGAGAGCGATTGCATCTCCCGCTTCTACTGCTTCAACAACAGGCAGCACCAAAAGCAATGAAAAGAGAACTAGGAACAATTGTGTTGAAACTGAGATCATGATGTTGAGATCTTGAGGTGACTGGTTCTTAAAGGCTGAAGGTTTCAAAGAAAGTGGTATTTGTTTAATTCTATCAGTTCAGGATGCTGAGGCTAAGAGGTTCCATGTGACAGCACCTTCAAGGAAGCAGCCATTACGGGAATGGCGAGCAGGGCTATTATTGTTTTTTAAACTTTTTATTATGGTGATTTTTGACTGGTCCCCAGAGTAGACAGAATTGCATAAAGAATCTCTGTGTACCATGCCTCAGCCCTAACAACCATTGCCCCATGGCCAGCCCTGCCCCATTCACCCATATTTTCTACAAAAGATACAAACTTTAAAAAATAACCATAATACTATTATCATACTTAAAAAAATATCCAACCTTAACCTTCTGAAATCAATTTGTAGTGTATCTGATTCCTTTAAGATATTGCCACCTGGATATTCTCCAGGTACTTCAAACTCAGCTTGTTCAAAGCTGAACTCACCACCTTCTCAGAAACCTGTTCCTCCCCCACCAACTCTGTGGGCCTTGTCTTGGTGATAGACACCGCTGTTCATCACTCCCTCAGGTCAGGACTTTGGGAGTAGCGTTTTGGGGCTCCTCATTCTTCCTGACGCCCCATCTAGCTAGCCACTCACCTCCTAGAGATCTCTAGTGTCTGTCCCCTACGTCTCCCCTGCCACTGTCTTACATTATCAGGCTCTTATTGGGTTCTTTGCCCCTGGGCATTAGCTTTTTAACTGGTCTCCTCATTGAGTTTTCACCTGCTAATCTTTTAATGCTATTGCCATAATTTTTTGGGGGTAAAATCCACATAACATAAAATTTACCATTTTAACCCATACAGTTAAGTGGAATCAAGTATATTCACATTGTTATGAAATCACTACCACCATCCACCTCTAAAACTTTTTCATCTTCCCAAACTGAAACTGTACCCATTAAACAGTAACTCTCCGTTACCCATCTCCCTGGCTTCTTCCTGGTAACCATAATTCTACTTTCTGTCTCTGTAAATTTGTCTACTCTAGGTACTTCATACAGTATTTGTCCTTTTGTGGGTGGTTTATTTCACTTACCACAATAAGGTTCCACCTTGTAACATGTACCAGAATTTTCTTCCTTTTTAAGGCTGAATAACGTTCCATTGTATATATGTACACCACATTTTGATTATTTATTCGTTCGTCACTTGTGTTGCTTTTACCTTTCAGCTATTATGAATAATGTTGCTATAAACATGAGTAGACAAATATCTCTTTGAGACCCTGCTTTTATTTTATTTATTTATTTTTTGCGGTACGTGGGCCTCTCACTGTTGTGGCCTCTCCCGTTGCGGAGCACAGGCTCCGGACGCGCAGGCTCAGCGGCCATGGCTCACGGGCCCAGCCGCTCCGCGGCATGTGGGATCTTCCCAGACCAGGGCACGAACCTGTGTCCCCTGCATCGGCCGGCGAAGTCTCAACCACTGTGCCACCAGGGAAGCCCGAGACCCTGCATTTAATTCCTTTAGGTACATACCCAGAAGTGGAATTGCTGGACCATATGGTAATTCTATTTTTACTTTTTTGAGGAACTGCCCTACTGTCTTCCACGGCAGCTGCACCATTTTACACTCCCATCAGCTGTACACAAGTGTTCCAATTTTTCCACGTTCTCATCAACACTTATTATTTTCTATTTTTTTTGATTATAGCCATCCTACTGGCTATGAGGTGATACCTCATTGTGGTTTTGGTTTGAATTTCCCTAATGATTAGTGATGTTGAACATGTTTTCATGTGCCTATTGGCCATTTGTATATCTTCTTTGGAGAGAGATCGATTCAAGTCCTTTGCCCATTTTTGAATCAGATTGTTTTTTGTTGTCCCATTGCATGAGTTGCCCTTTTTCTCTGTTAAGAGTGTACTTTGATGCACAGAAGTTTTCAATTTTGATGTAGTCCACTTTATCTGTTTTTTCTTTTGTTGCCTGTGATTTTGGTATCGTATCCTCCAATAACCTTTTAAATACATACATTTATATCCTTCCACTGTCCGTTTATAATCCTGCTATGGTTCCCTCTTTTAAACTCCTTAATGATCTAGTCTCTGTACTTCTTCAATCTCACCTCTTGGCCATAGCTCCACCCAAATATACTTATCAAGTCACTGTGAATTACAGCATAGCTCTGAGCATTCACCATTCTTTACACTGGCTGGTTCCACTTTCTCTCCCTCTTTGTTTTTCACTAAACTACCTTTCATTCACCTTTTAAGACTTCTTCAATACCTCCTCCTCTAAGTAGACTTCTTTGACTTTTCCCAGAGTTAGGTGCCTTCCTTGTCTTTCCATTGTTGACTTTTACTGTAACACGTATCAGAATGTGTTTTAAATGTTGGCTCACCTGTGTCCTGTCCCTCCAGGTAGACTGTAAATTCCTTAAGGGCAGGGCCCTATCCCTGTCTTGTCATCTGCGGGCTGCTCAAACTTAGTTGAACAATTGAACTGGAATCTCTGCCACTGTTCAGTTGTTTTGACCTTGAGAAAACTAGTTAAACTCCCTGGGTCTCAATTTTCTCATAAAATCATTAGGATTTATTGACATTATATTTGTAAGGTGCTTGGTGCTTACTCTGGCCCAGAGTAAAAGCTCAGCAAAGAAAGAGCTGTTATTATCATCAACTTGTTGAATTGATATCTCAAGCTCTAATCAGTTGTATGACTTCCGACAAAATTCTTAAACTCCCAGGGCCTCAGTTTTTCCTTCTGTAAAGTGAGGTGTTTGACCTGGATCCTCTGTAGCAGTGGTTCTCAAACTAGGCTGCACATTGCAATCATCTGGGGAGCTTTAAAAATACTGATGTCTAGGTCCCTCTCCCAAATATGCTGATTTAATTGGTGTGAGGTACAGCCGGGCAAGGGTATCTTTTAAAAGCTCCCCTGGTGATTCTAATGTTTAGCCAGAATTAAGAACGACTGATCTAAAGTTTCTTCCAGATATAACACGTTGATATAACAAGTGGAGCTGCCAGGATTCTTTGGAGGCCAGGGGATGGAATGTCTCCCAGCATTCTTCTGCTATCACTCTTTGTTAGTTTAGCAGGAAGCATTACTGAACAGGCTCACTAAGCTGGAATTCCAAGAGTATTTGTGGATTCCTGAGTGTTTATACTTAGCAGCTCCCTCCATCCTGGAGTGACCTGGGGGACCAGAACTCTGAGAAGGAAAAAAATTGGCTTCTCCTTACCCCACTGCTCTAAACCAAGGCCCTGGAGTCTACCCTGCAATGTCGTACTGTGGAGTCCTTGTCAGGCTGGAGGGAAAGATCCTTGGTATAAACTTAGTGGGGAAACTTGGGGCCCTGACTAGAAGGGGGTGGAGGCTGAGAGTCACAAACATGCATTCCTTTAGGGTGCTTTAACACCACATTCACAGCCATTACTTATATGATTCCCAGGACAACCTTGAGAAATACAAAGCAGGCATTACTGCCCCCATTTTGTAGGAGAGAAAAACAAGTCTCTAAATGGTTGAGGACTTCACCAAAAATTACACGGTTGAGTTAGCAGCAGGACCAGCATGACAGCCCCTGTGTCCTGACTCCCCAAGCTGGCCTCTCTCACTATGTCTGCACACCCAGTGTGAGATAATAGAAAACACATATTGGTCTCTTCTCCTGGTTCCTGGCACAGAGCTCCCGAAACCCTTGGAGTTTCCTGGGTGATGGGAGTGCTTTTTGTTCTAATGAGGCGACTCTGGGTGGGGTCCTGAGTGGCTCCTGGATGACCTAGCTGGAAAGACCAAGCCATGAGTAGAAGCTTGGAATTTTCAGCCCTGCCTCTCATTCCCTCAAGAAGGGAGAAGAGCTGGTAGTGGAGTTAATGACCAGCTATGCCTATGTGATGAAGTCTCCATAAAAATCCCAAAGGTATGGAGCTCAGGGAGCTTCCAGTTTGGTGAACACATGCAAGTACTAGGAGGGTGAAACACCCCGCATTCACTGGGACAGAAGCTTCTGTGCTCGGACCCTCCCAGACCTCACCTTATGTATCTCTTCATCTGGCTGTTCATCTGTATCCTTTAATAAATTGGTAAATGTAAGTAAGTGTGTCTCTGAGTTCTGTGAGCTACCCTAGCAAATAATTGAATCCAAGGAGGAAGACGTCATGGGAACCTCCAATTTGTAGCCAAGTCAGACAGAAGATGTGGGTATCCTGGTGGCCTACTACTTGTGATTGGCATCTGAATCTTGGTTGTGGGGATGGAGGGAGGGGGCAGTCTCGTGGGACTGAGCCCTTAACCTGTGGGATCTGACGCTGTCTCTAGTAGATGGTGTCAGGATTGAGTTAAATTGTAGAACACCCTGGTGTGTCACAGAGAATTGCTTGGCGTGGGGGAAAACCCCACACCTGTGGTGTCAGAAGTGTTGTGAGTGTGGTAGTGGTGTGAGAGCAATGAAACACAGGTGGAAAGACTGAGGTTTTATCTAAAACACCCAGGTAGCTCAGTCTTTCTTGGCTCCTTGGAGTTGGAGCTGTGGTTCTAAAAGGCCCCATCAAATGCTACCGCGAACAACTGACATAACTCTGCCCAATTCCCCTGTGATCCCTCGCCTCTGAGCATAGCAGTGTTAAATGGGATCATTAGCAAATGCCTTCAGTTCTGCAGTTTGGGGTGTTCAGTACTAGCTTTGAGGCTTGGACACTCAGGGAGGTGTTTAGTTATAATGGCCCATGTGTTCAGGGACACTCACAAGGGCCTGTAGAGCACTGTTAGTCAAATGCAAATGCTGGGTCACAGACAGGGGTTGGCCCTTGGCCACTGGCTCAAGATGAAATGGAAAAACCAGAACAGGGTAGTGATTTTTTTTTTTAACTAAGCTCAATTTAATTTAAAGCCCCGTCTTTTTTTTCTGAGATTATGTCTTCCCTACTTTTTTTGGTCTTAAAATTACCTTTCATAAAATAGTGGTAATGGTAGATAGCAGTTTATTTTAATGTCCTGAGTGGCATAGTTAAAACAGCCACCCTACGTGAATTCCCAAAATTGCTTTTGAAATGTTATTGATCCAAGGAATCCTGAGTTTGGTAACACTCGCCATTTTGGAGGGCCATGTGATCTCAACTCTTCAGGGGCGTGGGGGGCCACAGAGAGCGCCT